ATATGAGAGTGAAATAAAATATATACTACAACATCAATATCCCATGAAAAATGACCAAATCCTGAGAAATAAAGAAAAGTAACAACAGCAATGATGGCGACAACAAACCACACAAAGAGCTCCAAAGTGTAACATTATCACATAGTTTCAGCTGTTTGAGGTTGGTGTGAACATAAAGACATTAAAAAAAGAATTTTTCTACTTTTTTCACAAAGATATATAGTTTTGTAGTTTTTATGCTTCAGTCCTGAAAAGTTTGTTAACAACTAATTTTGTTTTACTGACTTTTTGTTTGAATAGTAAGTAGGAAAATATCAATAAATAAATCTTGTCGATAGCAAAAGGCACAACAAGGGTACTAGACTGAAAAATTGTACATTGTACACGATAAAGGCTTGGAAATAACTCACAAAATGTATTTATTTTTATTGAATAGAAGTTCTTAAATCACAACCAGTCAGAAAAGTATATAAATCAACTTCCAATATATTGTACCGTTACATTGTATCCACCAAATGTACACAGACAATCTATCTGACCGGTTTTCACCATTCTGAAATAGTGTTGTCTTGTCACTACCTTCCTCCTAAGTATATGTAAGATTTTTTACTACCGCCAAAGGGTATTGTAAAGTTATTGCCTTTTTCACATACCATTTGCTTCAGATTTTTTTTTCTCACTAGTCATTTGTGTAATGAAGGTGACAGTGTAGACAACAACATGTCATAAATAACTTTCTATATAAATATGATATATGATACAAGAGCTTCTATTCAATATAGGTTACCAAGGTGACAATAATGTACCGAGATAGTAAATTTTGTATTTCTGATTATTTCTTTCTATATAGTAACAGACAAATTATGAAAAATAATACATCTTCCTTGTTGTGAAGAAGATAACAAATTATGAATGGAAGAGACCCGAAATGATTTGTAATGATATGTGTACACAAGTAAACGTTTGCTAAAAGCCAACAATTTATTTTAAGTTTACATGTACATATAGCTAATCATGATCAGATGGTCCAATGTATAAAGTGCAAGAAATATCATAACCTCTGTGTAGGTCTTCACCCTTGCCAAAATGCAGCTTATATTTTAAGACAATGACCATGTTTTCTCTTTATATTTCATTCCCATGTACATCATATGACATGGAGTAAATGAAGCTGATAGGAAACATCAAACATATTTGATTTTATACATTATGAAAATATATACATATAGGTAACCTGGTATATAGAAGAGGTTTATGTAAAAAAGAGTTAATTTATAGATATGTGTAAGTAATTAAGATTCTTCAGATATCACCACAGCTTCAAATTCACAAACAATTCACAATGGTAGGAATAGTGAAAAAAAAAACATAATTAAGGACAAAACTATTACATGGCAAATGGTACCTTAATTCAAATTTCATTTGTTGAAACTATTATTATGCTCTAGAAATTGCATTACATCAATGCCTATACTTTTTTATCAGACACATGAAGATTCATAATTTACAAAACATGTAAAAATGTTTGGTTTTGATTGTCATATACATGTACCAAGTACAGATCTGAGATTTCTTGACCTCTAATTTTTTTGGAAAATCTTCCCATTTGCCACTACAACTCAACATCCTATGGAAACTCTCCAAACTTCAACTAGGAATCAGCTAATGCTGTATATACATGCACGTAGATTTTGTATTTCATATTTCCCTGGTATAAAATAGATCATAGGCACTTGGTGCAAACCATTTTTTCATCCATTGTTGTTTAACGTTTTGTTTTTTTTTCCTTTCTTTACTTTTAATTTCTCTGTTCTTGCCCTTCATCATATGGAATTTGAATTTTTTTCTGAAGAAATAGTGGCATTAACTTTTAATTGTCAAATCCAAGATGGTGGCCTGTCAGCCATTTTGGTTTTCCTATCAGTCCAAAAAACAAAAGGGAACAAATAAGGACCAAAAGGAAACTTCAAATGACATTTGAGAAACATCTATCCTGTTCTTATCAAGGAATAGTGATGACATGAATTCATTATGGATGGACTACAGGGCGATTTCAATAGTCCACCACAAATTTAGAAACAAGAATTAGCTACCACTGTAAACATGTGCTGGTAGGTTTTCTATTTTAGATATAAATGAAATGTGTATTAAATGTTTTTCTTCTTCAGCAGGTGATCGTGAAACTGCCTTTTATAGCTATCACTTATTATATAAGCCTATTCTGCTGCTTGTCATCATTTACATGAGCCTTGCCTGTCCTGTACAATACCTATCTGTAACAACAGTATATATTTAATGTATGTTAGGATACTACACATTTGTAGAATTATTTATCTATGATATATATGATCAATAACAATGCTGTAAATATGAACAACTGATTTGTTTATCAAGACACAAAGTATTACACAAGTTACATACATAGAAAATGAAACAAACAAAAAGTTACAAATTATATGATAAAGAACACTGATTATTATGTACTGATAATCCCTTCAATTTGTACAACATTGTAGGTCATTTCTTATAAACATAGAATAAACAATTTATAATATTTCATCAAAATGTTAGAAAAATATTCCTGGTATATATCTGTATAATGAATGTTTAAGCAGTTATATATACATGTACAGTTTAACAACATATTTATCCTTTAATAAGCCCAGTGGACATTATAGTGTCTATCTACTCCATTTCTGTAGTACAAGGTGGGCTTATTACAGGACAACATCAGAGATATTATTGAATTTGTAATCCACGGCAATATATTGAGATGTGAAAATTCATTACCTTATACATAGTACAAAATACACTTAAGATCAGCAGTGAAGATAATTGTCATGGAATTCAGAAATTACTGGCATATTTTATACATAATGATGGAATGAGATTTTTGGGATAAAAATTGAAACTGCTTTGAATCAAAAGGTCTTAATTTTGAATCCTGCTAAATTCTAAAAAAAATAAACTGAAATTATTTTCACAATTACTCGTGTGTCTAAGCAACACTCACAACCCGAGGTAATTATTCTTCAATCATTTAGAGTCCTCCAATAAATATATATTTATAATAATTGTGTTCATTCTTTAAAAACATAAAATTTAATTTCATCTATTTTTTGTGTTTCTGTGTCTATGAGGCAACAGGGTCAAGCAAAATCAATTTTTCATTTTTTTTTTCAACTATCAAGTTTAATGATGGTTTTTTGTGTTATTTGTTATACTTGGGAGGTTTTTGGAACAGCAGAGGTAAATGTATAAACCAATTAATCCAGGAAAATAGTTTAAAATCATAGTTATTGTAAATGGTTCATAGCTTCCCCTTATATTTAACAAGGATATAGTGATCAAGATACACCACCCATGCTCATATATGCATTTAAAGTGAGCGACACGGAAAACTAAAAAAGATATCACCTAATCGGGACAAAGCAGACTCATTAAATATGCACAGAATTTGCTGGTAATCAAACTTTGAACAAGGGGTTAAGGTAACAAGTCTACCAAGCAAGTCTTATCATCTTTAAGGTGTTCCTTCAAAAGATAGCTACCGGAAAGCATTCTGAAGAGTGCCGAAAGATATCAGCCAATCTTATCACAGCAGTCTCATAAAATATGTGCAGAAATTGTTATCAATCAAACTTGGCCAGGGATTAAGGTAACAAGTGTTGCAACCAAGTTTCCTCAAAATCCGACTTTGTTTAGTGGGAGATAATGACCAGTCATTTCATCTATTTCCAGTGAAATTTACCTCACCTTAACTATGTACATTTTTGGCTTATGTAACATCAAATTAACATAGGTCTGGTAAAAAAGAGGTTTTATCAAACATATTAGTAAGATCACTATTGGCTTTTAATGTTGGGTCCTAATGGAATGTATATTTTATATATGTTTTCACAATACACAATATAGTTTATAATATATGTAGTGTCAAATACTGATACAAAGTTGAAAATGGCAAAAATCTTATAAAAATCAAAGAACCGACAAATCGCCCCTTCATGCACATCTACCAATTGTAGTAGTGACATTGAGCAAGTTTCATGAAAATCTGATGATTAGTTTAGGAGGAGTTGCGTTCACAAGAAATGGATGGACAGACAGACAGACTTACAGACGTTCGGACAGAGAAGATGACGCCAATATACAACCGCCTCTGGTGGCGTATAATAACATCACATCAAGACCATTAAAAATGTATAAAAAATATGCAAATTTAAATGCACACCTGCCTTCATTGAGAAGTACCATATCAAAGCAGATTTAAAATTTATACCTGTATATATATGTAACAGTTCTTACATTCAATCCATTTGTCTATGAAATCTATATTTCATAAATATTTAAGCAATAATCAATTCTGTGTCAAGAAATCAATATGCAAATTTTGTAAAATTTTATGCAAAAAATCTGTTACAGGATTTTAATTGGCTGAAATTGACATTATTCTTTCTCAGTCATCAGATGGATTTCTTGAGATAATTTGGCTATATTTGAAAAAAAATGCAGAAAAGAAATGGAATAACTGTATTCAATTGAGTCCCTATCAAGTTCATCTCAAAGATCTTAAGAATTAACTACATATTTGTTTTACGATTTCTGAAGTTTGAGTTAAAAACAAAAAAAAAATATGATAAAATGTAGTTTGTAATTGTAACAGAGAGAGAGTGATTCATACGCAAAGTTTACTACCCAGTGTAGACATGTGTGTAATACTTTTCCTATTGGGAAAACGTTTTTGACGAACTCAATTCAATTGACGTTGATGTTTTTCTGTGTCTATATGTTGCCAGTCTTTATTTCATTGTTTACATAGTTATTAAATAGATCAATCTAAAATTATGACACTAAAACATCAGACAAATTACTCAGAATGTGTTTTAAATAACCTAGAGAAAGCTTTTGACTGGCAATGTGTGAAAACTTACTACAATAAAAATATTTCTAACTAGAGAAAAATTTTGAGGAAAATTTTAAAGAAAATTTTGCTGGTTACCAATACAATGTGATTTCACTCAAAAAATACCTTAATCTGGCCTCCTACGAAGAAAACTTTGCAGGAAGCGTACCAGTGTATTAATAGCTTTTTCCATGAGGGGGATGAGGATTTTTTCCAGACCTAGCATTGGAGCTTCCACAGCCATAGATACAATGTAGGCACACATGTAGGTTAGGACCAACAATCCGAGGTAATAGCAGATCTGGAAAAAGGAAAAAAAAGGACCAGTTTTAGTCAGTGCTAATGTATATCTACTGTGGAAAGAACAGTTCCATAGGAATTTATCATCCTTTTTTCTACCAAGTACTCTAGAAGCATGTTCACGGTTGATCAGAATGTTTTCAACATGTTTTTTGCAATATTGTGACCTCACTGTGAGGTCACGTGATATTATTGCTTAGTTGTATGGGGATTTTATTGGTTCTATAGAGCAGCAAGGTACCAATGTTAATATCCATTTTATGGTCATAAGAAAATATTTCAAAATCCTGATATAACCATTCTCCTAATGATATCAAATAAGCTGATAAGAGAACTTGATCTTTGACCCAACAATGTTCTCAATTGTCTGTTACCTTATTTGGTAAAAATTTATACAAGTTTTCTTTCGGAGGACTATAATACTTTAATAGAGATATAAAATATGAGCCTTACCATGTTGACATCAGATACTATGTAAGCGTATGGTTGGAAGAAGAAAAATTCCAAAATCATTGGATGTATGAGATAGGCACAATAGGTTAGACGTCCGAGTGGAGCCCACGCACTCCAAGACAGGATAGAATTTACTAGCCCTGTAAAATACACACAAGATAGAGAATTTTAAATCCAGAACACCATCATACTTGATGTCTACAGGATACAACACTACCTTAAATGGAAACATCAGTGATCTGATAGAAAAACCAGGGACCCTATAGATACTGTTATATGTAAAAATTTGAACTATAGTTATTGGTGATCTGGTTAAGTGTAGCTGTAGTTGTGGTCTTTACTTGTGTCTCATCAAATCAAAGTAAATGGAATTCAATTTTTCTGTCATGAGACCTCTTCATCACATATCATCAGCATAATGCTACGTGAGCTGTCTTTTGGAAGCTTTCATTCAGTACAAGTAATGTCTCCAGCAATAAGTTCATGCTGGTAATAAGCCTGCCATGATTTATAAAATAAGTTCATGCTGGTAATAATTCTGTCATGATCTATAGAATAAGTTCATGCTGGTAATAAGCCTGCCATGATCTATAGAATAAGTTCATGCTGGTAATAAGCCTGCCATGATCTATAGAATAAGTTCATACTGGTAATAAGCCTGCCATGATCTATAGAATAAGTTCATACTGGTAATAAGCCTGCCATGATCTAATACATGTTCAGAACAATGCATAATAATTTCATTATCCAGTAATAACTTTGGGACAGAGCATGCAATAATGCGAAGTACAAATAAACTGGATGCCACACATTAAGTACCATGTGTCGTGTTGCTATGTGACACTCAGCTCATTGTAGGACAGCACTATTTTTTTCATTACATGATCAATTATGAATATCACAGCTGAACAATCTGTCCCTTTGAAGCAGTACCTATGATTATTTCAAGGGAGATAACTCTTTAAAATCTTACCTCCATATCCAGTAGCACAGGCAAATACAACCCAAGCAAGAGCAACACTCCAGGCAAAGCGATTAAAGGCCAGGTAAATGACACTTACTGCCAAGGATGCATTGAAACTGTGGTAGTAGTAGTCATAGAGACCGTATACAACAGACAATCCTGTTGCTATGGCAACAGACCAACCAGTCAAAACTGTAACCTGTATTTAAAAAATTATACATGCCCGTGAAATGAATTTTAATCTAAAATCAATATCCCTTCTTTGTAACTACCTGGGTACAACATTTACTTATATTATATAGCAATAAAAACCCAACAATATTGTCTCCCAAAAAAAAAAACACACAATACATCATCTTAATCAGGGATATCCCCATAATGTTTTCTCATAAAACTATCCCCACAATGTATACCACACAACAGTATCCCCACAATGTATACCACACAATAGTATCCCCACAATGTATACCACACAACAGTATCCCCACAATGTATACCACACAACAGTATCCCCACAATGTATATCACACAACAGTATCCCCATAATGTATAGCACACAACAGTATCCCCATAATGTATAGCACACAACAGTATCCCCACAATGTATATCACACAACAGTATCCCCATAATGTATAGCACACAACAGTATCCCAACAATGTATACCACACAACAGTATCCCCACAATGTATATCACACAACAGTAACCCAACAATGTATATCACACAACAGTATCCCCACAATGTATATCACACAACAGTATCCTCACAATGTATATCACACAACAGTATCCCCACAATGTATATCACACAACAGTATCCCCACAATGTATATCACACAACAGTATCCCCACAATGTATATCACACAACAGTATCCCCACAATGTATACCACACAACAGTATCCCCACAATGTATATCACACAACAGTATCCTCACGATGTATATCACACAACAGTATCCCCACGATGTATATCACACAACAGTATCCCCACAATGTATATCACACAATAGTATCCCCACAATGTATATCACACAACAGTATCCCCACAATGTATATCACACAACAGTATCCCCACAATGTATACCACACAACAGTATCCCCACAATGTATACCACACAATAGTATCCCCACAATGTATATCACACAACAGTATCCCCACAATGTATAACACACAACAGTATCCCTATAATGTATATCACACAATCCCCAGTATATCACACAACAGTAATGTATAGCACACAACAGTATCCCCACAATGTATAGCACACAACAGTATCCCTACAATGTATAGCACACAACAGTATCCCCACAATGTATACAACACAACAGTATCCCCATAATGTATAGCACACAACAGTATCCCTACAATGTATACCACACAACAGTATCCCCACAATGTATATCACACAAGTATCCCCACAATGTATATCACACAACAGTAACCACACAACAGTATGTATATCACACAACAGTATCCCCACAATGTATATCACACAACAGTATCCCCACAATGTATATCACACAACAGTATCCTCACAATGTATATCACACAACAGTATCCCCATAATGTATAGCACACAACAGTACCCCCACAATGTATAGCACACAACAGTATCCCCATAATGTATAGCACACAACAGTATCCCAACAATGTATACCACACAACAGCATCCCCACAATGTATATCACACAACAGTAACCCAACAATGTATATCACACAACAGTATCCCCACAATGTATATCACACATCAGTATCCCCACAATGTGTACCACACAACAGTAACCCCACAATGTATATCACACAATAGTATCCCCACAATGTATATTACACAATAGTATCCCCACAATGTATACCACACAACAGTATCCCTATAATGTATATCACACAACAGTATCCCACAATGTATACCACACAACAGTATCCCCACAATGTATACCACACACCAGTAACCCCACAATGTATACTACACAATAGTATCCCCACAATGTATACCACACAACAGTATCCCCACAATGTATATCACACAACAGTATCCTCACAATGTATATCACACAACAGTATCCCCACAATGTATATCACACAATAGTATCCCCACAATGTATATCACACAACAGTATCCTCACAATGTATATCACACAACAGTGTCCCCACAATGTATACCACACAACAGTATCTCCACAATGTATACCACACAATAGTATCCCCACAATGTATATCACACAACAGTATCCCTATAATGTATATCACACAACAGTATCCCCATAATGTATAGCACACAACAGTATCCCCATAATGTATAGCACACAACAGTACCCCCACAATGTATAGCACACAACAGTATCCCCACAATGTATACCACACAACAGTATCCCCACAATGTATATCACACAACAGTATCCCCACAATGTATATCACACAACAGTATCCCCACAATGTATATCACACAACAGTATCCCCACAATGTATATCACACAACAGTATCCCCACAATGTATATCACACAACAGTATCCCCACAATGTATATCACACAACAGTATCCCCACAATGTATAGCACACAACAGTATCCCCACAATGTATAGCACACAACAGTATCCCCATAATGTATAGCACACAACAGTATCCCAACAATGTATACCACACAACAGTATCCCCACAATGTATATCACACAACAGTATCCCCACAATGTATATCACACAATAGTATCCACACAATGTATATTACACAACAGTATCCCCACAATGTATACCACACAACAGTAACCCCACAATGTATATCACACAACAGTATCCCCACAATGTATATTACACAATAGTATATCACACAACAGTATCTCCACAATGTATATCACACAACAGTATATCACCAACACACACAACAGTATCCCCACAATGTATATCACACACCACTATCCCCACAATGTATATCACACAACAGTATCCCCACAATGTATATCACACAACAGTATCCCCACAATGTATATCACACAACAGTATCCCCACAATGTATATCACACAACAGTATCCCCACAATGTATATCACACAACAGTATCCCCACAATGTATATCACACAACAGTATCCCCACAATGTATACCACACAACAGTATCTCTACAATGTATATCACACAACAGTATCCCCACAATGTGTACCACACAACAGTAACCCCACAATGTATATCACACAACAGTATCCCCACAATGTATATCACACAACAGTATCCCCACAATGTATACCACACAACAGTATCCCCACAATGTATATCACACAACAGTATCCCCACAATGTATACCACACAACAGTATCCCTATAATGTATATCACACAACAGTATCCCCACAATGTATATCACACATTAGTATCCCTATAATGTATATCACACAACAGTATCCCCACAATGTATACCACACAACAGTATCTCCACAATGTATACCACACAACAGTATCCCCACAATGTATACCACACAACAGTAACCCCACAATGTATATCACACAACAGTATCCCCACAATGTATACCACACAACAGTATCCCCATAATGTATATCACACAACAGTATCCCTATAATGTATATCACACAACAGTATCCCACAATGTATACCACACAACAGTATCCCCACAATGTATACCACACAATCAGTATACCCCACAATGTATACACACAACAGTATATCACACAATCACACAACAGTCCCCACAATGTATACCACACAACAGTATCCCCACAATGTATACCACACAACAGTATCCCCACAATGTATATCACACAACAGTATCCCCACAATGTATATCACACAACAGTATCCCTATAATGTATATCACACAACAGTATCCCCACAATGTATATCACACAACAGTATCCCCACAATGTATATCACACAACAGTATCCCCACAATGTATATCACACAACAGTATCCCCACAATGTATATCACACAACAGTATCCCCACAATGTATATCACACAACAGTATCCCTATAATGTATATCACACAACAGTATCCCCACAATGTATACCACACAACAGTATCCCCACAATGTATACCACACAACAGTATCCCCACAATGTATACCACACAACAGTATCCCCACAATGTATACCACACAACAGTATCCCCACAATGTATATCACACAACAGTATCCCCACAATGTATATCACACAACAGTATCCCCACAATGTATACCACACAACAGTATCCCCACAATGTATACCACACAACAGTATCCCCACAATGTATACCACACAACAGTGTCCCTACAATGTATATCACACAACAGTATCCCCACAATGTATAGCACACAACAGTATCCCCACAATGTATATCACACAACAGTATCCCCACAAAGTATATCACACAATAGTATCCCCACAATGTATATCACACAACAGTATCCCCACAATGTATAGCACACAACAGTATCTCCACAATGTATATATTTCACACAACAGTGTCCCTACAATGTATACCACACAACACTATCCCCACAATGTATCTATGTATCTTACCTTAGACATCCTCACCCTACAGTTTGTCTTGTGTAGTGCATAGCCCAGTAACATCCCCACAATGTAAGGAGCAATCCGTGTGTACATCTTGTTGTAAAGAGGAGCATGCTGACCATAGTAATTATCCTTGTGTTTTGTGACTGCTTGGCTAGACAAAACAGATTGATGAGTTAAACAACATCGAAAGGACTCTTTTTGTTGGTGATACATTTCTCCGTAGTACGAACAGTATTATAAAAGAACGTATTTCTTAAGCTTCATGTTTTAGTCTTTGCCTTATACTGTTGTGCATGATACTGAATATATCTGTTTATTGTCTAATAGCATGTTATGTTAGCTTGCAATATTGTCTATGTTACATACAACCTGTTCAAATCCATTTAATGCTAAGATTCTGAATGATTTTATATACAATTTTTAAAGTAAACATCATTGCAAAAATATTATCTGCACACATGTTTGTATATTTTCTTGGTTTATTTATTCATGGGCAGCTAAGGTTATTTGAGACATGGTCTCCTTGTAGTGTGTGGTGACTTCCTCACACAATAGCAATATCTGTTATACAAAAGGTTGGTGTAAAGTATCCAGTCAAACAGCAATAATATGACTGTACGGGACGAACTGAGAGACACGAATCAGTCCTAGGTAGGGATCGAACCGTACACCTCAAAACTTTATCCAGTTATGGATTTTTTGTGATGCTCTCCCAACTGAGCTATCACAGCTCACTGCTGGATCCGTCTACCAATACGATACAAATGAATATTGTTTGCCATGTTTCCTCAGTTTAGTTAACAGACAAGCTTATGAAAAATTAACCAAATGCTTACTTTGGCACATGAATTCCAAATTCAAAAGCTGTCATTGCACGAATAAAGATACATGCTCCAATCAAACCTCCACACACTGCGAAGCCAATTTTACGATACCTGGAGAAAGAACACAAACAAGGAACATTCTTTAATAAAAATTTATGTATATTATGTATACATATCCATAAAATACTATTATTGTATATTATGGTCCTTCCTCAGTGTTAAATCTTGTATTAACAGGTGTGTAGTCTATCATTAGACAATAATTAATAGGATATCATTTTGGTGTCATGGTCAACGCAGATAAACACATTATTGCATTTCGTAAATCATTCAGGTAACCAAGATTTTATGGTAGCTATTCCAATAGATAACGATACATTTACTTGGAAAAATCAACTGATGACTGAATTAAATAGACACAGCTAAGTTTTAAAATAATACAAAATTAATTTAAATATCACTATTAAACAGTGATAATTGTCAATTTAAATGCACTCATAGCAGATGAAATAATCATGATTTCCTGATGAATGTCAATCTATTTACCTGTAGACCCATATTGTATTCATATTGACAATGAATGCAATCTGATGACCATTCAATGGTTTAATAAACTGTAAGTGCCACGCCTGATATCATATCTTAAATAGATATTGATATCAAACATTAACAGCTTTCAAAAGAAAACATCAATTCTAAAGATGTGCTAAAATATGTTGTTTTTTGTTTAAAGTGAGACAAGTTTGTTAAATAGCATTGCCTTAATATGGGTTCTTATTATCAATCAAGGATTACTTATCCAAAATATATTAGAGAGCTAAAGCTAAAGAGACTGAGAGACAATGGTTGCTGAGCGATTTATGAAATACCATGAAAAATATCATAACTGTGTCTTCACAATGAATTTTCACCAATCAAACTTACCGATACAGAAGAATCAGGATGATGGGACTGATGATATAAAACTGCATATCATTGGCTAAATACCAGGACCATCCCATACACTGAAAGTAACAAAATGTTATCAATAAAAAAGGTTTACAGACTATCATTAGAATGTCAAAGAAAATATCACAGCTAGTACACGTGAATAAAGGGCTATAAATACAGGGGCCTGCGTCGCTAACATGGTGCTGATCAATGAATGTCTGAGGTATCTCTTTACGCCTTCTAGAAATTATAAATAAGTGATCAAAAAGAAATCTTGGCACCCACCACTGAATGGTCCTTAGTTCTTCTTTTAAAGTTTGATATTTTATCTACTTTTCTCTTTTTTGCTTTTATTTGCTATTATTTACAGAAAATTCAAGAAAATCTCTGAAAATTATCAATAACTGTGTTTCTCCAGATATATCATAAACTAACATACACTACCAAAATCCGAGATAGCTGAGTGTCTGCCATTTTATATTTCTGATCTAGCTCAAAATTGAAAATGTACAACATGGGAAAAAGGAACCTACATATGAAAATTTGAAAGACTATCATTCAGTGCTTCAAGATACTAACTTTTATTGTCAAAACCATGCAAAATGGCTGCCAGTCAGCCATTTTGGTTTTACTGATAAGTTCCATTATCGAGAGGGAACAATAGATAACCTTCATGACATTTGAGAAAGATTCATCTGACACTAATCTCCAGAAATAGATATACCCAGCCATCATCAACAATATAATTACCCTTGCATCCCAAAGTTGTACAAAAGGCCATGGGTAAAGCGAAACTTAAAATGATTTGGTCTGTTTCATGAACTGGTCTGACCATGAGAAGTGTGTGTAAGATAATAAATTATTACCATATGTCATAAATGTTGAATCTTCGAGTAAAATTGACTAGAAAAACTCTATTCAGTTCTATTTATAGTAACAGTGTTTACAGTTTGGTAACAGTGACCTAGTTTTTGCCATTTGAAAAAGAAACGCAGATTGTAGTATAGAGCAGTGATGTAAAACAATTTTGAAAATTTCTGTTTATTGTGATGGTGACCCACATTTTGAGAGCAGAAGGTTGAAATATGAACTTGAAGCCAGAGGTAATTTTTTTTTCTGAGTTTCACGACAATCAAAAAAATAAATGCAGCCTCAAGAGCAGTGACGTCTTTCTGGACAAATACCTTTTATGACTTTTGTCATGTGGGTATCACAAACTTAAAAAGAAAATATAAGATGGCCACCTGCCAGCCATTTTGTTTTTTAAACTTAAAACCAAGAGGAACCTTTGAATCTTTGATGGATTACAGATGGATCTACCATAGACACGGAGTGCAATTTGAATAATCATAGATATGACAAAGCACCTTAAACTTTTCTTGTTATTTTTAGTCAGGTGAACTAAAACTCTCTGAGCTAATTGATTAAATGACCTGAAGTCAGGTAAACTAAAACTCTCCGAGCTACATGTAATTAACTGACCTGTTGATTGATATCACCAGAGTATGGGTAGTAGTTGTTTATATAGAGAATGTTTGCCCACCACGACTTGGAGCACTCATTGATAAGAGCCTGAGTCTGTGGGGTGGACCTCCACACTGCCATCGGCCCTCTCAGGGTGTGAAAGAATAGAGAACCCCAGATCATGATACAGAAGGCATACACTGGGGTCAGTCTGAAAGTTAAACATAACATCAATTAGTCCATACTGATACTGGTCCTTTTAGTTTGTGATACAAAATTTTACCTTGATGTGGGTTAAAGGTCAAAATGTTGGTAAGAGTGACCTACTTATGATACAGGACACTCTGGCCACCTCACCAATGTGAACCCATACTCTTAGTAGGAAGATCCAGTGATGTAGGAGACAGTGTCTGGACAAACTTTTTCTTTGATGTAGGTCAGGGGTCCAAATAAAGGCCACAGTGACCTAATTTTGATACAGACACATCCTTACCAAAGTTCCAGAGACAAAACCAAATGAAAGAACATAAGGGAAAACTACCATATCGCAAAACTAAAGTCTCTCTCAACCATTCAAAGTCTAAAAATGTAAGAACATGGTTAACAAGGAGACTACAAGCCAAGTGAAGTCACACAAACTCACTTACCGCCAGTACCGATGAAAGTAGAACAGCACCCAATTAAAAGAATCTGTGCTCTCCTGTCTATTCTTCAAATACAGGTAGGTCACCAGTAATCCACTATAAATAAAAACAAAACAGGTAGGTCACCAACAAACATCTGTAAACACAACACAGGTGTGTCACAAGGAAAACTCTGTAAACACATTACAGGTATGTCACCAACAAAATGCTGTAACGACAATACATCACCAGTAATCCACTATAAATAAAAACAAAACAGGTAAATCACAAGCAAAATGCTGTAAATACAACACAGGTAAATCACAAGGAAAACTCTGTAAATACAATACAGGTAGGTCACCAGTAATCCACTATAAATAAAAACAAAACAGGTAAACACAACACAGGTATGTCACAAGGAAAACTCTGTAATTACAATACAGGTAGGTCACCAACAAACATCTGTAAACACAATACTGGTAAATCACAAGCAAAATGCTGTAAACACAGTACAGGGAGGTCACAAGCAAAATGCTGTAAACACAATACAGGTATGTTACAAGGAAAACTCTGTAAATACAATACAGGTAGGTCACCAGCAAACATCTGTAAATACAATACAGGCGTGTCACATGGAAAACTCTGTAAATACAATACAGGTTGGTCTCAAGCAAACTGCATAAAGATAAAGATTATCCAAGTAATCTAGTAAGGCTGTTTATTATATAGAATAAATCTTTACTTTCTAAGAGACTGACTTTGAGGAACTTCATAAAGTTTTCTGGAAGAAGGATTATCCATAAGAAGAAAAGGACCAATTAAGCTATTCTTACCTCATGAAGAAGAAGGTGTCTACTGACACAGTGGCATTGATAATGGCCTGGAAGGAGAATCGCTGTATAATCTTCACTGCTGCTAAAGAATTTTCTGGAATGAATTTTGAGAAGTAGTTCAGATTATTTGTTAAAGATGAGTTATGTTGGATTTTGGACCAAATTGAAAGAGAAAGATTTTGTCAGGACAATCTCAGGATTGAATCATGCATGTTTGATATCATTGCCACTCCCTGATGTTTCAGGTGGATTAAAATATACCCAAGACTAATGTTCTAGAGTCAGAATGGAAGGACTCTTAAGACTTACATTTCCTCAATTGGGCCCACCCCTCCCAGGGAGTGATGATAAACCATTTATACAAAATTGATTCCTCTTCACCCAAAAATTCTTCACACTTAATTTGGACAAAATCCAATAATTCCTACAGAAGGAGTAGGATTTTAAATAATTTGCTGTATTACCCCTATCGGATCCCGCCCTTAAGGTCCTAAGGGGCCGAATCCTACCTTTTATACAAAACTGATTCCCCTTCCCGGACGGATACCAAGGTATGCCATAAACTTCAGGCCTGGTGAGTTTAAAATGTCACCTAAGTCCATGTTTGCAAAAAAAAATTAAATAATCTCAGGATTACGAAAAGTCCATACATTTACATGTGTATTAAATGTTCTTACATACCTACAGTCATTCCTAAACTCGCAAAGAGGTAAGTGTGTCCAAGTATGATCCAGAACATACTCAACACACGCATGCCGTTGAGAGATGTAAGATGACCAGAGGAGGTAGAAGTGGACAGCAGTTTTCTTGTATTGGTCACTATAGAAAAAGCCACTGCGACCTGACAAATCTTTCCTGTGACGAAGATAAATTTATTCAACATACATTGCCAACTGATGAAAAATACATCAGAGAAGAAAAGAGTTTACTGGCTTTGAATGACTTCCACTGGCTCAACAACAGGTCCTATTTACATATTTAGATACAAAACAAATTAAATGAGAAGAGTACTCGCAATCAAAGAATCTGCAGTTTAATGCCTGATCTTTTTTTGTTTTCTTTTTCATCATTTTTAAGTTTGTTTCTTAACACTAAAATTTCTCCTAACTGTTTTACATGGTTATGCCGTAAAATGACCAAATCCAACTTTTGCAGATAGGGAATGCTGTAGTTATAATCATTATGGGACAGGTTAGGAACTGAAATTAACTTCTCTTACCCCTATTTGGTTGTGGTGGGTTCAGTCGTTGACTCTGTATCTGGCCTGAGGATGATGTCTCGTTCGACAGTACACTTGTTCTACCCGTCGTTTCATTATCCTCAACCAATATCACATAGCTGTTACTGCTTTTTTGCCTTCTCTCGTTAAAGGTCACCACAAGGTCAACTATAGTTCCAATAGTTACCAACATAACAATTACACCACAAACAGCCCTG